GAGGGGAACAGTGGGTGGAAAATCACTAAGAAGACGTGTCAAGGGGTAGGGGCATTCTTGCTAAACTGACCTAGCAGGATTCTTGCTAAAGGCAGGCCAAGGTGGAGGCTGAGTCAAGAAGAGAGATCAGAAGAACTTAATTAAATTTTGGTTAAGGAGGGAGTCTTTGTCACTAGTGCTAAATGTATTTCTAAATAAATTATAACAGTGAAAAAATGAAATATGAATGATAAATGTGTTGAGAAAAGTATTTGTTGAGATCTTTTGATGGGATAGGTGCCATATTATATACTATAGAAGTTACAAATTGCTGAATGCTGGCACTCCCACAATACCACCAAAATAATCTTTAAACATGAGAAAACACAAATAAGTTTATTGCTCTCTTTGGTAAAGGAGATCACTGGCTTGACTAAGAGTGAGCACTGTATGGGAAAGGAAGGGCAAAGGAGGGGTGTTTATGAGGTTTTGGGGATCTAGTCTGACAGGTCTTTCAACAAGCAGTGTTGATAGGATGGGGTGCAGTTTGTGTTGTAAGAGTTTCGGCTTGGTGAATTTATGGAGGTGAGGGTTTCGGAGAGGCTCTTGAATAGTAAACAGTCATTCAGCTGGGCTCTGTATTGTTCTTAAAAAAGGATATTTTACTGTAGTAAGCATTAGTTGAGTAGTCTATTTTTCAAGTAAATGGGATTTCAGAAGTTTCCTGAAAAAAACGATGAGGTTATTGGCAAACTCATCTTCCTGGCAAGAATTTCCTGAAATATTAAAGTCATATTAATGCAGACAGTTGAATAGTAAACTCATGTTAATGTAGACAGTTAGATGTGTGGATGTGGATAGTTTCAGTTCTGAAGAGAACAAGAAATAGACCCTTTCTTGAGTTAATAAAGTAATTGATACTGAAAATAAGCACACCAAAACTAAGTAAAAATAGACAGTAAAAATTTTTGAAAGCAATTGTATGCTTAAATATTAAATGACTGGCATAAGAGTTCAGAAAAAAGAGAGATTGAGTGAGAACTTTAGAAGTCTTTGGAATTTAACAATGCTTTGGAAAAGGTGAAAAATCTGAATAGTAGCTGGCCATTTGTTAGTGGGTATCATAAGCAAAATTGAGTGGGAGTGAAGTCTGAGATATGTGGACAGCTGTAAACAATAGATGACTTGGGCTATTATAGGGTATCAGGAGATAATAACTATGTAAATATATGTTGAAGCCACACAGTGAGTAACCTGAGTGCCAGACTTTGACTTTATACTTTATTATTAGGAAGCCATGAGTTTTTGTGGAGCATGTGAGAGAATACGAAGTTTTGTGTGGAATGTATCAGGCTGTATGATAGGACTAAACTCGAGGCATAGAGAACACTTAAAAAACTAAAACAATCTTCCAAGTGAGAGGTTATAAAGAATATTCATATAGGAGATGAAGAGATAGAGAAGATGTAGTGAACATAAGTGTGTGTATATATTTGGAACTTTGAGAGAGGGTGTAGTCAAAAATATAAGGAGTTTAATTTTAATCTACTGAGTTTTGTGCATCTGCAAGACATTTGTGTGATCTAGCATAGAATTGGAGATATCAAACTGACATATGAGAGGGGTCAGGACTTGAATTGACAGTTTAAGAATAAATATAGGAAGATCTGAGTAGAAAGGATTGCTCATAGAATAGCAGTTAGAAAAAAATTAAAGCTCACAGCTGAGCTTTGAAAGATATCTCTCTTTAGATAGGTGTTTAGATTGTTCGGGATTGTTGGACACAGAGAGGCAACCATCTTGAAGTGTCTTAGGTAAACAGTTGTTTTATAATTAAGAAATTGGGTCAATTGTGGGAGCTTATGGTTCAGATAAATTAATTTTCATCAAGTTCCTGAAAAAAGAAATTGTTTTTGTACTGATTTACAGCTTTATCTTTATGAGCAAGAATTTGCAAGAACTAAAAGTAAAATCTTACGGATGTAGGCTGCTTTGGTTCTGGGTCCTGAAGTTGAGATGGGTGCAGAGGCCTCCATTCTCAGTTTCAGTAGCAAATTGGGAACTGAACTGTAATGTGATGTGCTTTGCTAGCTGCTTTGTGTGGAAGAGGTATAAAATAAAAGGTTGCATTTAACTGAAAGATCTTAAACTAGGGTATGCTATTACGTTTTCCCTTTTGTTAGAAAAATTATGGAAAAAGGGATTGCACAGAAATGACAGAAATAATCATTTAGGAAGACAGACGCTAAAAATACATTCATGGAGCTCAGGATGGAGAGGCTAGACAGTGATTCTATCTTGTCACACCTTTTTATTTGGAAAACCTGAATTGACTGTATGTTCAGGATAATTGATCCAACTTTCAATGAACTGCAAAGGAAGAAAGATTATTTAATCAAAGTACTGTATAGACACACATAATACTATGTTTTAAGAATGATTCTACCTTAATCTTCTTGTGTTAATGCACTTTACTCATTGATCTAATTCACTCATATTTCATTACCTAATATTAAACAAAATATGAGGTGACAGTTTTGAAGTATAGTTCCAGAGAATAATTTAATAATAAGAGTTTCAAAACTGGGAGATTCCACCAGTGATTATAAATCAAAACTGGGAGATTCCACCAGTGATTATAAATCAAACCATAAAGTAGGATAAATATGAGATCCAGAAGACCCTATTTTAAAGACCAGAAAAAAAATCAAAGAGAATTAATAAAGGCAGATATTAGATGCTTTTAAAATAATTCATGCAGAAATCTGTACTAAATATTGTTAGCGAGTTAGCCTTGAATTAAAAAAAAAGCTTCTCCTACTAATGCAACATTTAAAGTCTAATAGTAAAATTTACAAGAGTGCAGCTCTAGAGGTATTTATAAATCTCAAATCTCTGTAGATTTTCTCAAGTTTAAATAATTACCCAATAAAATATACTTAAAAAATGTTAAATGTAGTCTTTATCTTCTCAAACAAGCTTCACTTTCTTCTACTTTGGTTCTAAAGGAAATAAAAACTAATTTTCCTTATTCCACCACTAATACAATCATCACCTGGTGGGGTTTTCTCTTACTTTGAGAGATTAAGGGGCTCTATGTTACCCTATCTCTTCCATTGAAGAGGAACTAGCATTTATAATAGCATTGCTCTTTAAACTCTTCTTTCTCCCTGAGCCCACAGACTTCATCCCTATTTAGAATTCTGCAGTGTGCTTGCCCTCTGGGAGAAGAACCACTCATTTAGTGGCTTTTGCTATATTTATCTCCACGGTGCAGTAGAAGGGGGAAAATCCTTGTTCTCTTAATTTACTGGGAAACTCTAACAGGATGACTTGTTGAGGAGTGCTATTTGGCTTTTCTTGCTAATCTATGATGGTAATGTTCATCAATATCAAGAAAAGGTCTAGAATTTAGAATATCAAGAAAAATAACAGAGAGGGTTGGTTGGGGTTGGACTATTAATTCTAGCAAGCACTAATTGAGAGCAGGAAGGCAGGAGACCAGAATCAACTGGCAAGACGAAATGAGTCATAACATGTTCAGAAGGTAACAATGCCTTATTTTATATCACATAGAACTATCTTTCAATCCATACAGTCCACTTCAGATAGTAACTTGGAAATCTTTCTGCGTCTCTTTTCCTTCTTTTTTAAAACACTATTTGTCTTTCCCTGTCACTCAGGCCACAGTTCCAACATGTCACTGTCCCCATGTGATTAAGGTTAAGAAGGATTACGGGCCATCTGTGCCATTTCTGACTGCAAAAGGAGGGTCATATTGGACACTCAGTCTTCTGAATGAAACACTGAAGAAACACAAACATTTTTTTCTAGTATTGATTGCTTCTCATTGTATAACTTCTAGGTGTTACTAGTTGAAATAGCTAAAGAACAGTCTGAAAATCTTGCTTTGCCAAAAGTGTCAGACATTTCCACATAATCTTCATAACCCACCATGCGGTATTTGTTTACCATTATACAAATGAAGACATCCAGGTTCTGAAAGGTTTTACCTTATATAACATCATTCACCATGAAGAGTGGACCCAATCCCCTTCGATACAGCCTTTTTTCCAAGGATGAGCATGGGTTAGGGAGGTGCAATATCATAGAAAAGGTTAGAATTAAGTAAAACTGGAAAGGAACTTATCATTTTTTTTAAAAAAAGAAAGAAAGCACTTAAGACTGCTTTTATTTAGGTGTTTTCCCTTTTATATATACAGTTTTTACATATAACATTTTTAACTCGTGAGTATCCTCTGTGGCAATTTTCCCTCAGGTTGATATTTTTGGTCTAAGATATCCTTAAGATGATTTAATTTCCTGATGAATGTGGCCGAATTTAACTTAAAACATATGTAAAATCAGCAGCCGTCCAGAAGTAAGGCAATGATTTAAAATGAAGACATCTTTCTCTTAGAGTTGACAAAGTAGACACAACAGTATACTAACAGTGTCAGAAATCTTGATCTGTGACCACACAAGCCAGATAAAATACCAGACAACATTCTCAACCCAAAGGAGGGAGAGGTTGAATAGGAATTGAGTGGTGATAGGACTGGATACATGAAAAAGTATGCATGAGGGTGGATCATTATGACAACCCTTAGTATTGGGTAAAGTTACGGTTAGCTGGCATCCTTTGTTATAAGTTTAGCTAGATCACTAATAAGTAACAGGTTACTTTGGAAACTGGAGACACTTCTCGCTGTTCCGTCTTTCTCATCTCAGAATAGGCAGCAGATTGCCCATATTTTAATTAATTTTAATATTAATAAACCCGGAGTCTCGGTGGCCCTTTCACTAACCCTGTTTTCATTGCACAATAGATTGTGTGCTAGGCCAGCTTCCTGATCATTGAAGAGAATTAATGCGAGCCAAGTAGAGAAATCTGCTCAGGTTATTAGGGGCTAACAATGATTGTTCTAATGTCTCTGTTTATTACACACATTTTCTCCTCTACAGTTATTATATTACCTAGTCAATGTGTTTGTCTATTGTTAATATCTTTGTTGTTACAGATACAGATGTGGTGTATAAAAGCGAGAATGGACATGTCATTAAACTGAATATAGAAACAAATGATACCACATTATTATTGGAAAACACAACTTTTGTAAGTAATGAATAATTAATTTATGCATTTCGGTATTGTTTAGAATGCTCTCTAGGTGTACATAACTTTCTTTTCTTCAGCTCCAGCACTTGCAAACCATTTCCGGTGAAAAGTTAAGTCTGGAATATCATTAGAATCAGTAGATCTATTGGTAGAAAGTCCCCATGTGACGATCTGCTTCATTTTCCTCCCATTTCTCCTCTTTAGTAAATGAGTGCATGCTTCCAGAAATAGTAATTGTTTTTTAGAATGAATATTTCTTCCAATATTTTCTATGTAAGATTAGTCATACAAATGCCAAGATTTAAAAAACAATAGTCTAAGGTAAGTTATCATTAACGTTTTCTTCCCCTTTACTTTTCATTCTTCCTGACTTCTTTCTCATTCCCTTGTGGTTTTCCAGATCAAGCAGAAGGCAGGCTTTCTAAAACCGGCCTTTCACCGGGGTTGATTTGTTTTACTTTAATAATTTAGGATTCTATCAGTACCATTTTCCTACTCCAGAATCATTGGTTAGCCCAATGTTCAAATAACTGAGTGCATTTATTTTGCTGTTATAAAAAAATATGAACTACTGTCTTTCTCGTAAATTCAGTCCTCTTAAGGTTAGAGTTAGCTATTACCTATTGAGTAAGTGATAATGAATAAACTGTTGCAAATTTTCAAATTCTAGCTATCAAACACCACTGAAAAATAGTGCACAGTTATTTGTTCACTCTTTTATATAATCAAAGATTCAATATATTTCCTATTAGATAGCTCATATGATACAAACAAAAACATAAACAAGACCCCAGAAGATTTTCTACACAAATTAAATCCATGAGCAAATCATCAGCTGCCTTGTTTACTTATTCCTACTTGTACATTTGGAATAGACATTTAGTCTTCATGTTTATTATGGGATGGCCAGGTGGAAGAAATGGACTGAAAGTTTCTGTTGTTTATGGTTTTTACATATTAAGAAAAAGTGGTCATTGAAATCATGAAGTGATTATGTAGGTATATATCTATTAGGTTAAATTAAACTCACCAGCTGAAGTACCTTAGCAATTAGGTCAGTAAGTAATAGAGAATAATGGCATTTTTGGTTTAAACTAATGGGTTAATTCACAAGTATTAGAGGAACAGCTACTCTGAATGCGACACTTTACAGCACTTGTGGAATGCCAAGGTTGTATAAGGTATATCGCTCACTTTCTAAGAATATGGATTTCCTTGGGAGAGATAACATTAACGCTCATGAAAAAGTTTAATAAACAGTATAGAGCACTATCTGTTATTTTTTAATTGGAAGGTCCTTAGAGATACTAGAGAAGAGGCTAAGGAGTCATTGAGAAATGCTGAAATCAATGGAAAAGAACCCCTCAATAGAAGGGAGTTCGGGAGGCAGAAAGCAAGAATTGGTAATGCGGAGAGGGTATGCTAATGGTTTACTGATTAAAGTCAATGTGAATTGATTTTTGATAAAATTAGTTTGGGGAACAAAATGAAATTCATTTTCAATTTTGTTTCCTTTATCGTAAAGTATCATTTTTGTTGGGGAGTATAGGCCTGCAATGGCCACACACTTAGATTAGCTGTACACACTCAATATATGAATACTTGCTTATGTGACTGTTCCTTACTGATTATTCTCTTACACAGGCTAATGAGGTCTTCTGTCTGCTCACAAATTATGCGTTTTTTTCCACATTTATCCCTTGCTTTCTTTGCCTCTATGATACAAAAGAAAAGCAAAAAAGAAACAAAAACAAGCAAAACTGTTTGGTTTTTATTGCAGTATCCCAATTCTTTTGTGGGTACTTCACACCACATCCATCTTATCTTATTGTGGTTTTCTCCATGTGCTAATTAATATCTTTGTCCTTGTGTTTAATCTTTTTAAATCCTTTTGAGGTCTCTTTCTACTCTCTTCTATGTAGGCTATGACTCTTAATTACCACAGAGTCATATTTAGCAAATATTCTAATTTACTGATCTTCTAAGATTCACTGCCTCCCTAAAGACATTTATCTCACAACACAGATAATTAAGCAATTTATAACTCCTAGAGGTGTCAGAATTCAATGGGCTGGGAGACGGGGTGGATAAAGGATTGGAGTGTGGCATATATTTGCAACTAGTTGACCCAAAACTGCAAACAAAAATGCAAAATACCATGATTCTTGATGATTTTAGAGAACTTATTTAATCATTTCCTCCCAACTTCAAGATAGTATTATTAACTACAGTTGTGTTTTTAAAGCTCATGTTAGGCTACAGTCTTGACTTACTTGATTTGACTTACTTTCTCTCCCAGGCCATTCTTATTGAAGCATAAGAATTTTGTTCATTGTGCAGTTTTTTCTTTGGGCAATTACCAATATTTTAATTACAAGCATAATTAATTGGATCAGATCTCTATAAAAAGCTTTGTAATAAAATGTGCCAAATCAATTGAAAGAATAAACATATTATCGATAAAAATGTAATAACAGAATGGCTCATTATTTAATAAGATGTAGTCTGGTAAAATGTGACCATCAATTTATTTTAAAATTTAAGACAATAGCACATTGTCATTTCCCTGCTTAAACACATTTTAAATATGAATAGTGGGTACTTTTAGCTGTGTAATCCTGGTTAGCAGACTATGAGCAACAATCTTATTGGGCATGGTTGCCAAAAATAAAACAAAAGTAAATCATTGTTCTGAGATAATTGTCTTAAGGCATCCTTTTGGTTTGAGTGTAGGTGGATTTCTAATGAAGGAGCAAATTAAAGGGTATATAACTTTTTAAAGGAGAGTTATGTGAAAGAAGTGATTTAGCCCCAAAACTGCTCTTAATCATTTCTAAGTGTTTCGAAATGTTATCTCTTAAAGCCAGAACTATTTCAAACAAAAGCTCATTCACAGTGACAATAAGGAAAATGTTTCGCAAGTATTAGCTGTACTTTTTCTGCTGTCAATAAATTGAATATCACCAGTGGTCTTGGCAGAAAACACTAACAGCCATAAATAGTTCTAACAAATCACTTTTTGAAATTAGAAAGAAACTGTAAACATGGGTCCCAGCCATGTGCTTAAACATTGTTAAGGTTAAAAAAAAAAAGGGCACATGCACTAATATGGAAAGAGACGATGGATAGATAAGAATTTTACAACTCTTTGATTCTGAAAATCTGTAAGCTTTTAAAAACATGCTATAAAAATAGCCTAAAACAGAGGGGGGAAATTCATATATGGTAGCAGAATGATTCCAAAGAAAATGTTAGCTACACATTTTTGGTTCAATTGTCTATTAATAGGCCATTACAAAATAGTTAGGTGACCAGGAATATTTATTGACTTATCATGCATAGAGATGGCTTCCATTTGTTTGCATGCCAGCATGGTATTTTATTTGTTCTGCCACTGGGTATGTGGGGGGAGAGAGGTAGAGCAAACTTTTTGTACCATTATGAAATCAATAAACTTATTTTCTGGTTCATGTTTGGGGAAATAGGTGTCTTATGAAAAAATACAATGGAACAAGTAAAGAATTGTTAGATAAAGGCTCCCCAAATTTTACCTCTTACAATTTGACATAAAGAAAGGTTATCAGATATTTCTGACTTGCCAAGTGGCCTCATATGCTAGCTATAATCATGGAGAATTTGCTATATTTTTAAGATCTGGCCTTAGCAGTCTATGTTGGTACCCCAGTAGTGATTGACATCAATAGTGTAACTGATGCTGATGACCATGAAATCATAGGAACTGTACACTTATGCATGCGTCTGTGTGCATGACAGTACAGTATCTTTCTTTCTTTGGACCAGTGTTTCTCAATTAGGAAGACTTTTGCCATCAGGAGACATTTGGCAACTCTGGAGACAGTCTTGATTGTTATGGCTGGAGGTGAGGAGTTTGCCATGGGAATCTAGTGAGTAGAGATAAGGGATGCCACTAAACATTCTACAATGCTTAAGATAGCTCCTCACAGCAAAGAATTATCCAGCTGAAGATATTAACAGTGCCAAACTTGAGATATCCTGTTCTAGACAGATACAAAAGAAATCATGGGATGATTAAAAGTTTCCCTAATGAAATGAAGATGAGTGAAGGGAAGTTGAGTAGATAAGAATCGAGCTTGGGGGTAGCAGGAATAGCTTGAGACAAGGAACAGTGTTTAGAAACACTGAAAGGATGCTAGTGTGACTGGAGCAGCACAAGGAAATGGAAGCCAGACGAAGTTGGAAAGATAGTTAGGGGCCAGATCATGCAGGTCATGGTGATGGATTATTAAAGATAATCAGATTTGCTTTTTGAAACAAAGATCTCTCTGTTGAAGTTGAAGAATAAATTAAAATTGAAAGGTGTGGCTCAGGAGAGTACAAATAAAGACACTATTGGAGGGACCTAGGCTTGAGATCATAAGAAGATAGACCTGGGCAGTGGCAGTGGAGATTGAAAGAAGTGAAAAGATTTGAAAGGTAATAATAGGTAAAGAGAAGGCAACAGGATGGGTATGGGGGTTTTACAAAGGAGATGTCAAGGACAATGCTTGGTATTTTGAATGTGTGGCTTAATGGATAGGGGAGTTAACCACTGAGATGGGGAATCTTGAGCAAAAATCAGGTTTGAGGGTCTGGTTGGATGAAACTATCTGTTAAACCATATTTAGGAAATAAGTGGGGATATCTATCAAGCATTATTTAGGACAAGTTCCTTGATTAAAATGTTAAAATTAAAACTTTAATTTTCAGAGTCAAATAGATGGTTGATATAATTGATTAATTCCCTTGTAGCAGTCCCTTAGAAATCCAGAAATATGAAAGCTTATTCAAAGACAAGTTTTTATTAGATTTTGATTGAGTGGTTATTGATACATATTTACATCTTCAATTAAAATTCCCACAAGTTTATAAAGTTCTTAAGAGAAGAGGCCAACCAAGCCTTAGTCAACTTCATGTCTTCAGTGGCTACAGCAATGACAGCATAGAACAAATTATACACTTAGTGCACATTTTATAAA